TCATCAAACTACCTCCAGGCTTAAGTGTGATGATGCAGATAAAATTTTGTACTACACAGGCACATGGTGAAGGCTCAAATATCAAAGTCATTAGGAGGATGACTGTATACTTTCTGTAGTTGAATACTTTTAGGCACTTGCAAGCTGATTCAGATTCTGGGAACTACTTGACAAGGCAAAGAGAACCTCAGCGAGCACAGACCAATCCGCTCTTAGGATGTTAGAGGCAGCCACACCCCAGGGAGAGCCAATGACTATTTTCCATACCCAAACCATGCCTGAACACAAACTAAGTCTTATAACGACACCATCCCTACAGAAGACAATGACAGAAAAATTGCATGCCAACTAAAAGGTTACATTTAAAAAGTATCCAGGTAACTCAATTTTGAGTAAAAGGGATCAGATAGAGAGCTAACCCTACGTCTCCGCTCTGTAAACAACTCTCCACCTATCCCTTCTCAGGCGCTGTCGGGAGGCGGTACGGTAGGACGTTCCTCCCCTTTTTTTCCTATACGGGCGACTTGGGTGGAAGTTCTCGTGAGAAGTGCGAGTTATCGCGGCAACGACATTCAAAAAGGCCTGGCGCTACCCGAGAGGTAGATGAGTGAATGGGTCCGTTTGTCGCTCGTGAGGTGGTTACGGTCACGAATCTGGGTGCCTTGAGCTCTATCGCGAGCCGTCACCTGCAGCATCAGGTAAAAGGTGAGAAGAGAAAGGTAGGAGTCAGGGGTCAGGTGGAATCTGGGTGGGGAGCAGAGTTGTGGGGAGCGGCGTAGGGAGGGGTTCTCGGGAGGCAGAGGTGGGCGGGAGAAGACCTGGGGTGTGGGCCACTGTGGGAACTGCTTCTCGTGCGGAACCCTTAGTTCTTGTGAACCGGTTTCCGAGCCGATAGGAATCTTGTGTTGGGCCGCCTCGTCGCTCCCCCGGGAATTTTGTATAAATATGTCAGGTCACGCCAGCTGCTTGGCCCTCATGATGATAAACGGTAGATCTGCGCAGTCCAGGATGAGAGCCATTAGCCAGGTGTGGCCGTCTGAAACTAGAAATGTTGTAAATGTAAAATACACACGGGTTTCGAGGGCGAGCTCTGGTATAGTAGTGGTTACGTTAGGCTGTTAACCTCAAGGTCAGCAGTTCGAAACTTCTATGAGAGAAAGATGAAGCTTTCTGCTCCCGTAAAGATTTATAGCCTCAGAAACCCCATACAGGGTCTCCATGAGTCGGGATCGACTCCACGGCACATAACCGGTATCAAAAGCACTGGGCTGCTAACCTCAAAGTCGGCAGTTCACACCCACCAGCTACACTGGGGAGAAAGAGGAAATAACGTTTCACTCCTTTAAAAATAACTGTTTGGGAAACCCTAAGGAGCAGTTCTCTTTGTTGGTGTTAAGTTCTGACTCAAAGTGGCCTTGTAGAGTGTTTCCATGGAGCAGCTGGTGGTTTTGAACCGCCGACACCTCACCAAGAAAAAGGTAACATGTCATTAAAATTTTTACAATGATTTTGTGTTGAATTAATAACTTAGGATGCATTGGATTAAGCACAATATTGTTTAAATTCTCTTAATTTTTAATGGGACTACTAAAATTTTTTTGAATCACATATGTGGTTGATCATTACTACCCTAATGGCTTTGTGTTCATTATCTGGTTTAAATACTTTTTATCTATGAACTGATGTAATTTTCTGTGTACCAATACTCAATACCAAAACCAAATCTGCTGCCATCCGGTTGATTCTGACTTACAGTGACCCTATAGGACAGAGTATAGATATGCTCTTTAGGGTTTTTCTGAGACTAAATCTTTGCAGAATCAGGCATTCTTGTCTTTCTCCTTCAGAGCAGCTGGTAGGTTTGAATGATCAACCTTGAAGATTAGCAGCTCAGTGCTTAACCTACAGCACCACCAGGATTCAACAGGCGTACTAGGTAGATGTTATTGCCCTCTTTTTTTTTTCTTGTTTTTATTGTGAATTAAGTGATAGTTTACATGGGAGAACATTAGCTTTACATTCATCCTATTGTGTTTCATTCATTGCAATGATTACAGTCCCCTCCATACATCATCAGACAACCAAAGGGTACACCCCACAAGCCTGCCCCCAGCTGTCAGCACACAACCCCTCTCTCTACCTGAGTCCAGGGTCCTCAGCCACTTCATCTCTCCACATCATTGTCTCTGCCTCCATATTGTCTCTGCTCCCATCTCTGGCGTCACTGCTTCTCTGGATAGGGTCTCTCACTCTGTTCTTCTCCCTTGATGGTCCCAGGGACCTCTGTTCCCCAACTGCAAAATCAACCACTCTCCTCCTTTTGTTACAAAAGGTCTGTGTTTACATTTCAAACCCTCACAGTCAGTCCTGATAGCAATTAGTCAGTTTATTGAACCATAAGTTGGCATGAGGTTATACTGCATCTTCTTTTACCAGCCCCGTCCAGACAGGTTGGAAACTACTCAGTGGAGATTCTACCTTCCCCCACACCCTCTGGAACTAGTATTGCCCTTATTTTATAAATCAGAATGGTGGTGATGGTGGTCATGTGCCGTGGAGTCAGTTCCGACTCATAGCGACCCTGTACAGGGTTCCCGAGGCTGTAAATCTTTATGGGAGCAGAAAGCCTCATCTTTCTCCCATGGAACAGCTGGTAGTTTCGAACTGCTGACCTTAAGGTTCGCAGCCTGATTCGTAACCACTATGTTACCAGATACAGTCTCTAGGATTTATGCTGATAACTCCCAAATTTGTATCTCCATCCAGCCTAGACCTCTCCCTACTCATGTATCCAACTGTTTATTTGGCATCCTTTATGTCAAAAACTAAACTCCTAACTTTTTTTCCAAGCATTATCTTTATTCACAGTTTTCCCTGCCTAAGCTGGTGGCTACTCTGTTCTATTAGTTGCTCAGGCAGAAGCTGTGGGGTTATTTTCAACTTCTCTTTCTCACAATTCTCACCTTTAGTTTGTTAGAAAATTATATTGGTTTTGCCTTCAAAATATCTGCATAAATCTGGCTAGTTTTCATACTTCCTGTGCTGCTGCCCTGGGAGTCCTGGAGTGGCACACTGGACTGCAAGGTCAGTTTGAACCATAAGGTTGATGGTTCAAACTCACTAGCCTCTCCACAGGATCACTATGAGTCAGAACAGATCCGATGGCACTTAACAACAACAGTGCTACTACCCCGGTGTGAATCATCATCTCACATGATCTCCCTCCTTCCACCCCTTCTTGTTGTGAAGTGCTGTTGAGTCAGTTTCAACTCATAGTGATTGTGTGTAGGGTTTCCAGGAAGCAGCTGGTGGGTTTGAACTGCTGACTTGTGGTTTGCAGTCCAGTGCTAATCTTGGAGTGCCACACCAGGAGTGTCAATCCTGCTCCCTTTCAAACTACTCAATATAACAGTCAAAATGGTTGTTTAAAAAATTTTAAGATCTGTACTCCAGACTTTGCAGTGACTCCCTTATTTTACCCAGACTAGAAGTCTTCACAATGGCCTGATCTGCCACCTCACCCCTGTATTTAATCATTATAATTTAATTTACTGTTTGCCTTCCCCCACTGGAATGTAGGTCCCATTAAGGATGAGCTTTTTTGTTTATTTTGTTCTTTTAATGTATCTGAAGTGCCCAGAACTGAGCCTTGTGCACAGAAGGCGTTCAAGAAGTATTTCTGTATGAATGCCTAGGTTAGTTGGAGACATGGAAGAACATTGTGTTAATGGCCTGGCAGTCTTATACGACAAAATGAGTTGAGTCTGGCCTAAGAAACTGGAACCAAATAGGAAAGGATAGTGAGTGAAGTTGAGTTAAAGTAGAGTGGTTTGTGTATATTTATTAGTGATTAAAAATGTAGAGTGAATGACAGTTTCTTTTAATTACTCTGAACATAGTTTCTATTTTGTATGCGCTCATGAATAATGAGGAAGGTGCACATTTTCAATAAAAAATGTGTATTTCACAGTGTTAACACCTGTGAAAACTCATGGCCGTGGGATTCCTTGCTTTACTTTATGAACCTATTCAAAGTTGCCTTTACATTTTAAGTAGCATTCATCCTGCTAGGACATTAATTTTTGTTTTTGTTTACGTCACTGTGATTATTTTTGATAAGTGCTGTCAAGTCGCTGCCGACTCATAGCAATCCTGTGTAGGATTTCTAAGTAACTGGTGGGTTTGAACTGCCAACCTGTGGTTTGCAGTACAGTGCTGATCCTACAGTGCCACATCAGGATTATATATAAAGTCCTGGTGTGTTGCCATAGGATAAGCACTCGACCTCAAGGTCAGTTTTAGCCACAAGGTCAGTAGTTCAAACTCATCAGCTGCTCCTCGGAAACCTATACAGGATCACAGTGAGTTGGAACCGACTTCAAGAAGGCACACAACCACAATCACCACCAAGGTCCCCGTAATGGAGCTGTTTCTTCATGTTGAATTTCTTAGAAACAAATGTATTCATCTTTTTTCTCTGTTTGATATAGTCTCAAATCAGCAGAATAGAACAAGGATACGTATTTGACTGCTTACAAGTAGAAACAAAATTGTGGTACTGTTTTTATATGTCAGTGGTGGCTGTGTGCTGTGGGTCGGTTCCAACCCTCTTCAGGGTTTCCGAGGCTGTAAATCTTTACAGGAGCAGAACTCCTCATCTTTCTCCCACGGAACAGCTGGTAGTTTCGAACTGCTGACCTTGCAGTTTGCAGCCTGATTCGTAACCGCTATGCTACCAGAACGCCTTTGTATGTCAGTAGTATTGAGTATATTTTAATATTAGTATCATTGTGTCAGATTCCTTGTTTAAGCTTGTTGTTAAATGCTGTCGAGTCAGTTCTGACGTAAGGCAACCCTGCATAGGGTTTCTGAGGAGCAACTGGTGAGCTTGAACTGGCAACACTGCTGTTCAAACCGACCTTGCAGTACAGCACAGTGGCCTGCAGCACCACACCAGGACTCCTGTTTAAGTTTAAACAGTTTTATTTCCGTTGTTTACTGTAGGCTAAAAATACGAAAAGAACATGGAGAAAGATATAATCACAGATCTTCGATCCAAGCTGAAAGAGGTTGAAGAAGAGCGGCTAAAAGCTGCACAGTATGGTTTACAGCTCGTGGAGAGCCAAAATGAACTGCAGAACCAATTGGATAAGTGTCGTCATGAAATGATGACCATGACTGAGGTAAGATTTTGTTTAAAGGTGTGCTTATTAGCTACTGAAGATTTGTCTTGTCTGGCAATTGTTAATATTATTCCAAAGATTTCAGTCTGGTTTCTACCCAGCCTCCAGCAGTAATAAAGGGGAATGAACTAAATGGATACCTAATATTCTTTCCAAACCAATGTCTTTTGACTTGAAAGAGATTATAATTGCTCTCTTTACCACATAATAGATCTTAGAATCTATTGTCTGCTGGTAATCTTCCTAAGTGGCCTTTAAATACCATCTAAATGGCTTGTGGCATGCAAGTCTACGCCCAGTTCTCATTTCTCTCCTGACCTACAAACGTGCGTATTCAACTGTCTACTTTGGGCAGTTCAAATAAACAGAGAAGGTAATAGATTATTCCTTGTCCACTTGCAATTCTTTTTTAGTTTATTTAGTAAATGTAATGGTGTTTATCAGTTTGCTTGAGTCAAACTGTAGGAGTTTTACTAACTATCTCCTTTCCCTTACTTTTTACCTGTAATCAACCAACAGGTTCTAAGGACTTGACCTATTAAACATCTACCTGCCTGCTCCCATTCTAGTCCCAGTCACTATCATCTCTTCCCAGTCTACTGTCATCTAACCTTGTTGCCTTCTCCTATTATTGCCATTCATACAATTCATTCTTTCCACACCAACCAGAGCAGTCATTGAAAAACACAATACATCATGTCACAGCCCTGCTAAAAACAATATAACTGTTTCTGATGATTTTTATGATGAAATCTGAGTGAGTGCCTTATTTGGGTTTATAGATCCTTATGTGAGTTGATCCTGCTGACCTTTTAACCTCATCTCAAATCACTTTCCCTTATTCTTAGCTATACTAGTCCCACTTTATGAGCTTCAAACTACCAGTTGCCTCCTCTTGAAATGTTTGTCCCCACTCTTCATGGATTGAGTCCTTAGCATTTAGATTACATTTAAATCTTAACTTCCCTGACTGTTGTGTAAAGTTAGCACCATTCACTCTCTTATAATTTTCAGCAATGTTAATTATCTCCAAATTATAAGTTCCATGAGCAGAAATCTTGTCAATCTACAGTATCCCTAGTGCCTGGCATTAAATGTTAAATATTGATTGAAAGAATGCTCAAATCAACTTTATATAGTATACACTCAGTGATGGAGCCCTGGTGTGGCAGTTCAAACTCACCAGCCGCTCCTCAGAAACCCTATATAAGGTTGCTATGAGTCAGAACCAACTTGATGACTCTTAACAAAAACAATAACAACAACACTCAGTAACTGTTATTTAAACTTGGATCTTAAAATTATAAAGACATTGTTGTTAAGTGCCATGGAATTGGTTCTGACCTGTGTTGACTCTTAAGTCCACCAGAACAAAATGCCATCAGGTTGTTCATCATACTTTCAGTTGTTACATTTGAGCTTGTAGTTTTAGCTACTCCGTCAATCCATCTCACTGGGGAGCCTCTTTTTTGCTGACCCTCCACTTTACGAAACATGATGTCCTTCTCCAGGGACTGGTCCCTCCTAAATAATATGTTCAAAGTATAAGAGACAAACTCTGGCCATCTGTCTTTTAGGGAGCATTCTGCTTATAGTTCTTCTAACACTGACTTGTTCTTCTGACATTCCGTGGTACTTTAATATTCTCCTCCAACACTATAACTTAAACGCATTGGATCTTCTATGTTCTTTCTTATTCATTGTCTAACTTTCACATATATATGAAGTGACTGAAAATACCACTGCTTGGATCAGACCCACCTTAGTCTTCAAACTGATAACTTTGCTTTTGAACAATTTAGAGGTTTCATTCAGTAGATTTGTCTAATGCAATACGTCCTTTTGATTTCTTGACTGCTGTTTCCATCAGTGTTGATTGTGAAACCAAGCAAAATGAAGTATTTTGAGAACTTCAGTCTTTTTTCCATTTATAATAAAGTTGTTTATTGGTCCAGTTGGAAGGGGTTTTGTTTTCTTTACATTTTGGTGCGATCCATACTGAAGACTACAGTCTCTAGCCGTCAACAGTATTTTAAGTCTTCTTCGTTACCAGCAAGCAAGGTGTGTCATCTCCATATGTTCTTGTTCTTTATTGTTGTTTAGTGCCGTGGAGTCTTTTCCAATTCGTAGTGATCCTGTATAGGGTTTTGATGGAGCAGCTGATGAGTTTGAATCACCGACCTTGCAGTCCAGTGTTTATCCTGTGGCATTACACTAGGATTTCTGTTTTGTGGTTAGGTGCTGTCAAGTCGATTCTGACTCATAATGACCCTGTATAGGCTTGCCGAGGAGCAACTGGTGAGTTTGAACTGTTGACCTTGTGGTTTGTAGGAGCCCAGTAGTGGGCTCCTACAGTGCCACACCACAGGTCCAGGATCTCTGTATGTTGTTACTCGGTACCGACTCATAGCAACCCTTACGCACAAGAGAACGAAACACTGGCAAATCCTGGGCCAACCTCACAATTGTTGCCATGCTTGAGCCCATTGATGTTGCCACTTTACCAATCAGTGTCGCTGGAGGTCTTCCTCTTTTTCTTTGACCCTCCACCTTACCAAACATGATATCCTTCTCCAGCAACTGGTCCCTCCTGACAATATGTTCAAAGTATAAGAGACAAAATTTGGCCATTCTGGCCTCCAAGGAACACTCTGGCTGCACTTCATCCAACACAGATCTACTGGTTCTTTTGGCAGCCCATGGTACTTTCAATATTCTCCTCCCAGCACCATAACTCAAAAGCTTCAGTTCTTCTAAGTTGTTGTTGTTAAGTGCCTCGAGTCGGTTCCAACCAATAGTGACCCTGAACAGGGTTTCTGAGGCTGTAAATCTTTACGGGAGCAGAAAGCCTCATCTTTCTCCAGTGGAGCAGCTGGTAGTTTCGAACTGCTGACCTTGCGGTTCGCAGCCTGATTCGTAACCACTACGCTTGTTGTTGTTGTTAAGTGCCATTGAGTCGGTTCCGACCCATAGCGACCCAGTACAGGGTTTCCGAGGGTGTAAATCTTTACGGGAGTAGAAAGCCTCATCTTTCTCCCGCGGAGCGGCTGGTAGTTTCAAACCGCTGACCTTAAGGTTCGCAGCCCGATTCGTAACCACTACGCTACCAGAGCTTAATTCACTATCCAGCTTTCACATGCATATGAAGTGATTGAAAATACCATTGCTTCTTGGGTCAGGTGAGCACCTTAGTCTTTAAGCTGACATCTTTGCTCTTCAACACTTTAAAAAGGTCTTGTGCAGCAGATTTGCCTAATGCAATATGTTGCTTGATTTCTTGGCTGCTCCTTCCATCAGTGTTTATGGTTGATCCAAGAAGAATGAAATCCTTGACTTCGATCTTTTCTCCGTTGATAAGAATGCTGTTTATTGGTCCAGTGGTGAGGATTTTTTTTTTTTTTTTTTTCTTTACATTGAGATGCAATCGTGCGGAAGGCTGTGCTCTTTGATCTTCATCAGTAAATATTTTAAGTCCTCTTCTCTTTCAGCAGGCAAGGTTGTATCATCTGCATATTGCAGGTTGTTAATGAGTCCTCCTCCAAGCCTGATGCCACATTTTTCTTCATAGAACCCAGCTTCTCGTATTATTTGCTCAGCATACAGGTTGAATAAATGTGGTGAAAGAATACAACCCTGTCGTACACCTTTCTTAATTTTAAACCATTCAATGTTCCCATGTTCTTTTCGAACAACTCCCTCTTGGTACATCTACAGATTCCTCATGAGCACAATTAAGTGTTCCAGAATACTCATACTTCGCAATGTTGTCCATAGCCTGTCATGATCCACACAATCAAAAGCCTTTGCAAAATCAATAAAACACAGGTAAACATTCCTGATATTCTCTGGTTTCAACCAAGATCCATCGGACATCACCATGATATCCCTCGTTCCATGGACTCTTCTGAATCTGGCTTGGACCTCTGGAAGTTCTGTCAATGTATGCTTGCAGCCGATTCTGTATTACCTTTAGTAAACCTTTAGTCACATGGGATATCACACTTACTGTCTGATGATTTCTGCATTCCACTGGGTCACTTCTCTGGAATGGGCACAAATACAGATCTCTTCCAATCAGTCGGCCAGACAGTTGTCTTCCAAATTTTTGGCGTAGACGAGTGAATGCCTACAGTGCCGCCTAACTTTTTTGAAAGATTTCAGTTTTCATTCCATCAATTCCTGGTGCCTTGTTCTTTGCCAATTCCTTCAATGCACCTTGGACATCCTCCTTCAGTATCATTGGCTCTTGATCATAGGCTACTTCTTGAAACGGTTGAACATCAACCATTTCCTTTTGGTAGAGTGACCCTTTGTATTCCTTCCATCTTTTGATGCTATCTGCATCATTCAATAATTTTTCCAGAGAATCCTTCAATAACGAAAGTCGAGGCTTGAATTATTTTCCTCAGTTGCCCCAGCTTGAGAAATGCTGAGCATGTTCTTCCCTTTTAGTTTTCTGGCTCCAGATCTTTGCACATTTTGTTGTGATATTTGACTTTATCTTTTTGAGCTGACCTTTGAAATTTTCTGTTCAGCTCTTGTACCTCCTCATTTCTTCCATTTGCTTTAGCATCTCTACGCCGGATAGCAAGTTTCAGTGTCTCTCATGACATCCATTTTGATCTTTTCCTCCTTTCTTGTCTTCTTAGTGACTTCTTACTTTCTTCCTTTGTGATGTTCTTGATGTCATCTCACAACTCTTCGTTCTTTAGTGTTTAATGTATCAATTCTGTTGTTCAGATGATCTCTAAATTCAGGTGGGATATATTTTAGCTCTTGTGGACTTGTTTTCATTTTCTTTCTGTTTGAATTTACATATGAGCATGTTGATGGTCTGTTCCACATTCTGCACCTGGCATTGTTTTGACTGATGATATGGAGCTTTTCCATGGTCTGTTTCTGCAGATGTAGTCAATTTGATTTCTTTTGTATTCCATTTGGTGTGTATAGTTGTCTGTTATGCTGTCTAAAGAAGGTATTTGAAATGAACAAATCATTGC